GGTGTCCTGACTGCTGGTCAGTCCAGATCCCAGGACACTGTCAGTAAGAGTAGAGGTGTCCTGACTGCTGGTAAGTCACTAAAAGTAGGGGTGTTGACCCCAGTGTCTTGACTAAACTCTACTCTGGGCTAGACAGTCCCTCTTAATCCTCCTGGTGCAGCAGTTTCTCTCTGCTGCCCCTGATCTGTGTACAGGGGGGTATGTGAAGTATACAGAAAACCCGTACAGCACAGCATATCAGTCATGTTTAATGATTATGAGTTTAAATGTATTCACAGCAGATAGGAGGTTTATCTCTTTTTCAGATAGCATGTTTTACACTTTGTACTTTCAAGATTAGTTTTGATTCTGCTTGAACATACAATACCTCAGTTTTCAATCATGGATGATCGTGGTATATAAACAAGATACCATATTATAGACACAAGGTCATTGCAGTGAACATCATCAACAGCCTTTGTTCACCTTTGCAAGCTTTGGGTGTTTAAGAGTCATATTGTAGCCCTTGAATGACCATTTTCTATGTTCAATTACAAACCAGAGCCCCAGCACGCTGACAAAGTGCTACCTAGAAGAGAACAGCGTTCAGTGCTTTGTTTAAAAAGAGAAGACAGGTCCCAGGTGAGAGGAACCTATTCATCCCATGATTCATTTTCAAAATCATCAGTGCAGGGTGTTTTAGACTGCGGCGGTGTTGTTGGTGATAGTTGACTCCCCAGGATTATCCCAGAGGCGGCTGGAAAGAAACTGGGATTGTTTAAATATTAATTCTAATTGACAAGGCAGGGGGCGCCAATGTTCTTTCGTTAGTCTCCATTATTGAGTCATCGTCCTCTTCCCATTTTCTAGAAAGTCGTAAAGGCCTCAGCTATAAAATAAATCTTACTGAATTAAGGAGAGAGGGGGTTGTAAACTCCACACATATTCGCCCCGCTCCTATTTTCTCCGTCTGCTCCGACATCTGTACTACATAACCCCTAAAACACACACAGGGCGTGGAAAGACCTTTTTTTCGTCCCCTACCAACATGGCGCCAAGACGGCTTCAGAATTTCGTAATGTTTGGATCGGGCGTGGTCTAGGGAGTGAGTGGAGAGATTTGATTGGTTACAGCCTGGTGACGAAGAGAGAGATTGGTGGGTTTTCATTGGCAGACCGCCTTGACGAGGCTTTGCTGCAACCCGATTGGTGGGAAGGTGTTTCAATCAGCCGTGACAGGTCGTAACCAGATCATTTTACCGCTGGGAGCAACAACAAACCCGGACGAGCTGCAAGTACAGGTATTTGCAGAGACCACAGTGACGAGTTTCGGCTCTGGATTAAATGCATTAGTCTGGATACGGCTCGATCTGCTGCACATAGGTACGATTCCCTCCCTCCGACGCTCTGCCGCTGAATTTCCAGGGACTCGGAGTAACCACCGTGCAGACCGAGGTCACACAGCTCCCCGCCCGGGTCTAGAAGAGACGCCGGGGGCCAGGATCTCGCAGCTGGGCCGCTCTCTCCCGGCTCGGACGCGTCCCTCACGCCCGCAGCGAGTCCTGCCCGTGCTGTGAGGACGATGACCTGAGCGCCGGACGCTCGCCGAGGCTCCACTTACAGCCGCCGCCGTGTCCTACGTGACGACCCGAGGAACAGACACTGGTCAGTACCTGGTTTCCCGGAGGAGGGGCAGAGGATTAAAACTTGTAGGCTGCTGGGCGCGCGCGCGCCGCTATTACGTAAGAACACGCGTGTAGCTCGGGGGAGGGGGCCGTAGCCGTAGCCGTGGGTTCAAGTGCAGTGTCGTGGAGTGGACAGGGAGAGAGATACTGGAGAGGTGGCGACGTGATATTTACA